GTATGCTCTACCTCCAATTTACAAACCTGCTTAAGTTTTAGGTAGTCATACACTGAAAAAAAAACAAACAACAAAATATATGCTGAATAACTACCATGGAAAGTAGTATTTCGCTTGGTACTTAACACCCCCCTTGAAAAACAAGGGCATACCTCAGTATTGCAGAAAAGTTTCCTCCTTAATACACTATTTTTACCCTTGAAAATACATTTAGGTACGTATTATGCTCCTGAACTTCAAAAAAAACTCGGCGTTTTTAACAGTCTCACACACTCAGAAATCTACTGTACCACAACCCAAACATTCTGTAGAAATACACAACTAAAATACATGATGTATTCTCTTACCTTATTTGACCATTTATAGGCTTGAAGAAGTTGACTGTAAAGAGGTGTTTTGTCCTGAACAGGATCTAGGCTCAGGAGTCCACTGTTGTGCAGGGGGTGGTTCTCAGATGGTTTACCCACTAGATTGCTCAGACGCTCCAGTTCACTGAAAGAAAATAGAACGGCATTTTTTAAGTCAGATCTGCAGATACAGATACCTGAGATGTATACTCCCTAGTGCTAAGCCTGAAGATGGTCCTGCAGTGTTTGCGGTTACTCTAAGCAAGTATAAGCATTCCAAGTTCTTAAGGCAAGGAAGCACCTTCTGATTTCCATGAGCAATTTATACATTTGTAGACGTGTAAAATACTCAACTAAAGCATAACAAGCACCAGTTCCCAATGGGGGAAAAAAACCTCACTGTGAAATGATCTATTCTTGCTTAATTTCTCATTTGTTAAAAGACTACATTTAGTAATAACAAAATGTTAAGCAATTTTTAAAACTTGCATTCATCAACTGCAGAAAAAAGCCTGGCTACTTTGCACAGATGTAAAATGTAGCTTTTCAAGTGACATGCCTAGTCAGGTGCCTTTCCTTTTGCCTTTTGAATGTTACACCCTACTCTGAACTGCAGAGCTTCCACTAAATTAAAAGCAGGATTCAGACCTTTCAAGAGGTAATTTCTGAAAAATCTCTGTAAAGAAAACTCCCAACTATCTCAATTTGCATTTAATAAAGGTTATGAAAAGAAACACCAACAATTGGGGAACTGACAGTTGGAAGACTTCCACACTTCACTACCACAAAATTCTCCTTCATTAATCATCTTTCCTTCCAGTTTCCATGGCCTACATTCTTTCTAAGCTTCTGGCATGGGGAACACTCATGGATGTGCTTATTACTTCTTGATAAAGTACAATAAACCAAATGTGAATAGACATAATAGCTAAGACTTTGTTGAGCTGGGATCCCAGTCCATACTTCCATGATGTGAGCCAAAGTCCACTGATGACATTAACTTCAATACACTCTGAAGTATTCCCTTGCTACTTGAAACCTATGCTTCCCAAACATGTAAGAGAATATGTAACACAGATAAATTGCAATATTCGGGGGCAGTTGTGTTTCAAAAAAGAAAAATCAAATATACTCCAAAAGAGTTATCTTGCAAGGAATCAGGAAAGAAATGGTCATCAAAGCACTGATACGCACACCCGCTAGAGATGTGGAAGAGATGGTGAAACAGGAACTGGTGGAGTTTGATGATGAAGACGCTCTCAGGTATGGTAGTAAGGATTACACAAGAACTTCACAGCACTGAAATCCTGGTTGATAAACTGCAAAGCAGCAGTAGGCAAACATGAAGCCTCCTCAACTTGAAAGCAATTAAAACCAAAGTGATACAACAGAAGACTGTAAGTCTGTGTATAAGATTATTATTATCTACCATCTTTCCCAACAAAAGGAAACAAGTAGGCAAAAAATTACATTAACGTTATTAGAACTGAAAATTAGCACGGTTAAAAGAAACAAATTCTTCTAAACCAGATCCTGGAGACCCAGTCTCTGGAGCCCACAAGATGTGCTGGGAAGGGCGATTCTGTGCTCGCCCTGCCCTTGGGCACCTCATGGGCAGCACTGATGGCTCCCAGAAGGATATGAGGGAACCCAGAGGGAGCTCAGCACTCTCCAGCAGATCCACATGGATCAGCAGCCTCAAGAGTTTGTCTCTGTCTGCACAAAACACACCTCCTGGTAGACAGCAATACTTACAGGTAGTGACTTTCCAGCATTACAAGTTTTGGTAATAAAATGGTCATTCTTGAACCACTTGGATAATACTACATATAGTCAGAGCCTAAAAGGAGTGAGATGTTTGTTGATTTTGGTTTTTTTTAATGTTAACACTTCAAAAAACAGAGAAGTATCTCCCTGCAACCAAAAGCATTCACCTCACCAATGGAACCTGACAACTCCTTTGTTAAAACAAAACAAGGACCACAAACAGGTAAACAGGAGCAATTTCATCCCTGTGGAGACTCCGGAACAAAACAGCACAAAGTGGTAACACGCACGATGTCGGAAAGAATAAAATGGACCGTTCTCACATTTATTTGCCTAAAACTTTCTCGGGGACTGCGAACGGCGCCACCGGGCACTTCCTGAGGGCCAGGCCCGGGGCTGGCGGGGAGGGACCCAGAGACCCCTCTCCCTCCCCGGGGCCAGGGGCCCGGCTACACCCCGAGGAGGAGGGAAGCCCCGTCGGGGCCGGCTGCTCACCCCAGGTCGCGGCTGACGGAGTGCAGGCTCTCCTGGAAGGCGGCCACGAAGCCCTTCTCCCGGCCCTCCAGGGTCTCCTTGTTCCGCATGCCATCCTTGAGGCAGTCGAAGACCCGCGTTACACTGGAGCGCAGCGCCTGGATAGCGGCGATGGCTTGAGAGAAGGCCTCCAGGTTCACGCCGGGGCTCAGCACCCCATCCGCCATCTTGCGCGGCCGGGCCCGGCCTCTCGGCGGCAGGCGCTGAGGTGCGCGGCGAGGCCGCGGCTGCGCGGGGCACGCTGGGAAATGTAGTGCGGGCTCCGCAGGGGCGGGACGGGAAGCGGTGATCGCCTCAGGCGCTGCCCCGGGGGGTCGGCACCGAAAGCCGCTTTTTAGCCTTTTATCCTCTTTTTTTTTTGTAACATAAGGGATTTCTCCATCAAAAGCGGCGTTTCCCCGTGCGCCCTGTGCCCGCCGCCCGTGACAGGAGCGGTCTGCCCGCCTCAGACCCCAGGGTAAAAGGAACGAGCTAGGGCAGTGTTTCTTCTTCCTCAGAAACACGTTTTTTTCCAGTCAAATATCCTCTTTTCTTCTATTTCCCTGTGCTGTGCATCACTCCCTGCTCGCAATATAAGGGATATTCCCTCCTCCGTGGAAGCTGGAGGGTGTTTTCCAGGCACAGAGCCAGAAGTAAATGCATTTAAAAGAGGGAGCAATGGCCTGTGTCCTGCTGCACCAACTGTGCTTAGCTTGAAGAAGGCAAAGTGCTTTTATAGGCCTTGAGCTCATGGACAAACTGAAGAGCTGATGGCGTTACAGTTCACATCTCAGTCGTGATTACAGCTGAAATAACAAGGACCTTCATTATTGAGTGTTTGAGGAGCACTGCAGAGTTCGAGAGGGCTATCATAGCACCAAGCAGTTTGATTCTGTAGGAGCTGCTTATGCCTCCAATGCCAGCACCAGCAAGCTTTACCCTTAGAGTGCAGCTAAAATAAATAGAGTTAAAACAAATGCAGCACTGCACCATCCAATGGTCGCTCCACGCAAGACTAAATTGCAGCACAGGGCTAGGTTCTTTGGTTTTTCAACTTCTAAAGTAAATAGCAACCTCTTTCATAAAGCTATTAATTAAATTCAGTGAGCGCCATCCACACAGCCTGATCCTTTAGTCAGGATGTGAAATGGAAATGAATGCGACAAGGAACAGCAGATGTGTCAGTGGCCAATCGAAGCGAGGCTTTGCCCTCCACTCGGTGACACTTTTCTGTCTATCATACATCAGAGACTGAAAATTGCATCTAATCAATTAAACATTCTCAGCCAATATTGGTAAGTGAAACCCTATTACTTAGCATAAAGAATGAGAAAATGAAAAGGTTGCGGTTCTACTCCTCTTGAGCATAGTAATGCTGTTGTATCTGAACACTGGGGTAAAGCAAACCTGGAAGCAATGTAGGCTGAAGCAATGTAGTTCAGCCTACATAAATGCTGAAATATATAATGGTGTACTTCAAAGAATCAGCAGTGGACCAAGCACACTTAATAAGGCAAATGTGAACAAGTCAGGAATAGTTCTATGTAAAAAAGCACTGAATCGAAGTATAGCAGCCCCAGGCAGAAAAGGACAGGACTATCTCAGCCAGACTGGCAACTTAAACTGGTTATGGAGCTGTAATATTAGTTATGATAGACATAAAATACCTTCCTTTGGACTATAATAGATTGGTGAAGAAGGCACTGTGTTATCATAAGGGAACACTTGGAGGCTGAAAGATCATTCCTGCATGGCTTTATTCTTTATTCCTCTCACTGCAAAATTCAGGCTCTGGGTGCACATTGCAGATGACTGTAACTTATTTTGTATGTTATTCCTTGGAAATGGGTGATTCTTTTCCATTTATTCCCCTCTGATGTAAGGTTTATTTTTAAATAGATATTTTCAGCTGTTAGCATCACATTTATTTTAACTATCTCTAAGATTCCCGTCATTATGGTGCCCACGTTCAAGGATTTATGATTTTACATCCTACCTGGAACAGCAAAAGGCCTTGACAGTTGTTTTAATATTTGAAACAAAACAGTGGCCTGACAACAAATCTATAAATGTATAAGGAACTATTTGGAACTTGCCCCTAAGGAACAAAAAACACAGCATAGCTTTGACTTAGAAACTCAAAGGAGGGCATTCACATTTCTTGCTCCAGGGATCTGTTTTTCCTTGTGTAAATGAGGAACCAAGCTCTCCTGAGCAGACCACAGGCAATGCAGAGCATTTTCAACTCCACTGGCTCTGTGGGGAGTTAAGGCAGACTTAGCTTCAACACCTAAAGATAATGGCTTGAGAACAGGAGGTCCCATTCCTCTTATTACTCCTCCTTTTGTTTTGCCACATCTAGAAGAAAAAGACTGTAGAATTTGATGTGCTCATCTGTAGGGCATTGCCTTACCTAAGTTGCTCACTGCATTTTTTTAAGCAATATTCCTTAAGTGGCAGCTTGCCCAGACCAAAGCAGTATGCTAATTTCATCTTCATTACAGGTATATTGTAAGTGGGCATAACGGATATAAAATACATGAAACCAGGATTTCTCCAAGGTACCGATAAAAATCTTTTTGCCCTAAAATCACCGGTGAAACATAAAAACAAGAATCCAGCTGATGTTCAAAACATCTAAAAATCTTGCTGTCTGACAGCTGTTGAGTGGGCTCCTGCAAAATTATTTGGATAGCCCAATATGGACACATATCCACGTCTGTGCAAGCATCAGAACTGACATCTTTTATCCTCTCCACCAGAAGTTCAAGGACCTAGTGTGCTCCCTCCAAAAAAAGGATCACATTTAAAGCATATGGGTTATATCCACATCACACAAACACAGTGTCCTGTAGAGATGCAAACAGCAGCTGCAGTCCTGAAAGCAGCCTGCTCTGTTAGTTCAGCATTCTGACCAGACTAATAAACCTTGCCTCTCAGCATTGCTAATGAGCTCCAGCAGAGCACCGCGCTAACACAGTGACACTACAGCTAGCCCACTTATCTCCACACATTGCTGCACTGTACCACGTAGATAGATGAAGAGATGGAATAGAGAAGACTGCAGTGAACTGCCAGTTCTGTATCTGTTCTGTGGCTAAAGAGAGAATTTCATTTTGGGTGCTGTCAGCCTCATAACGTACATAAGCTCTGAATTCACTTGGAGAGGAAAAGTTGGGGGGGGGGGGGGGTAACAGTCCAACCTGGCATCCCATGCAGCTTGACAAGAGAAGTACAGTTCTCTTCTGAAGCAGAAGCTTGGCTGGGGAGCCTGTAATTAAGATGAACCTTTCACAGCAAAGTATGTTATGGCAATATTACTCAAATTGCAGCTACTGAGAACCAAGTGGGCTATAATTAATCAGCATCATCAAAGAAAAGGGATGATTTCAGAATCCTTGCAGAGGTACTGTAAACAATTTGTTAGGGAAGAGAGTGCCCAATTAGAAATGCATTCTCGTTTAGGAGGAATTAATTTTGTTGTCAAGAGAGACAACTAATGGTGACTACTGGGTTTCATACCAAGTGCAGATAATCTCTCATGAAATGTCTGGACAGGACTCAACGTTTGGAATAACTCACGTCATAAGGAACTATCTTTATCTTCCTCTGAGATAGATAAATGCTGATATTTAGTCTGTGGCAAGCTGGACTGATATTCATCACCAGGGCCTCTTCATTTCTTCATACTTCATTGCTCCATTCTTGACAGCACTTCAGATAAATATAATAAACAGATTAATTTTTGTTCTTGTTGTTCAAATAATTGTGACACTCAGTGGTGTAATTGATAAGATATTCTTGCTATTTTTACTTTCCTTTTAATTTCTTCCAGGTATTCAGTCTTCACTTAGCCGCAGAGCTTACTACATGATGCATTATTGAAACAGAAGAGAAGCTGGGGGTTATCGACTCATGTTTGAGGTTTCTGCCAAGAGAAAGGAATGAGTCCTGCCTCCTTTTAGACAAGGGGAATGGCAAGACATTTCAGATGTGGGGGAGCCTTGATCTTCAGTGCTATTTCTTTCCTATTGTTGCCTGAATCAGAATCTCCCACTACATCCAACAATAGTGAGTGAAAATCTGATCTCAACATTCATGCCAGTGAAATAACTGAGCTGACAATGATGTAGTCCTCATCAGATTTCCTGTGGGATGAACAGAGTTAGCTTCATATTGTTTCAGGCTCTCAGGCGACCAGGCTCACATTCAAAAGGATCTTCCCCCATATCATGGTATATGGAAAACAGACCTAAAGGCCTCCCGTTCCCCTTAGAGGGTCACTCTAACTGTAGGAACTACACTTCTTGGGTGGTTATTCAGTTCCTTGTCCAAAGTGTTTCAGTTCACAGTTATAAAGTGTCCGCATTACACACAGAAAATCCAGTGTGTAACAGATTTGTCTGCAGAACCACTAACGACTGGATGGATTATGGCTCTTCAATTCCCTCTTGTCTGATGCAACTGCCACCCTTGATATCAATTTAAAGATAATTCAAAAAGATTTGCTGTTATGCTGGGCTGCTCCTGGAGTTTTGGTCCCTGGGGATGTCAACTTAACACCTTATCCCAGCACTGAATTTACATCAGAAGTATAAAGCAAAATACAGAAAGTAAACCCTACCCAGTAAAACTCATGGTGTTATTTTATGCATGCAGAATTCTGTCCCAAAATATGTCAAATTTTACTTGCAAAAATAAAAGGCTGCTGTTTGATTCTGTATGTGTGCAATCTGCAGAGAAGTATACTCAGCCACTTCTTTCCTTTAAACATTCAGTGATCAAGTGTGGAATCCGATGTAAAACCAAATGGGGAGAAAGTATCATTATTTAAAGGCTACATAACTGCTTAAAATTAGAGCTGTGAAGGCATCAAAAAATACCAGAAATCACAGATGGTTTGCAGATAAATTCACATTGCATTTAGTCCACTCAACATCTAAAAAAAACCCCTATGCTTTTGCCTTGCTTTTCAGTCTATCTGTTGATGCCTGCTCACAACATACTTTCTTTAAATTGGGCTGAGTCGTGTTCTGTTGCCCTATACATTCAGTTCCTCATCACTTTGAAAGATCTGCTCAAATACACATATTTTTAAATGATGTAGTTAAAATTTAATATATTTTGCACTTTTTCAACATGACAACTATCCTGAGCAGGTTAAATAAGGCATTAGCAGAGATGAAATAGTGAGAACAGACAAGCAGTTGTGCAATATGCAAGTGGCTGAGACAGAATGACCTGATTGCTTCTTCTTGACTATACTGATGATTCTGCAGTATTGGAGTTGGTTAAACGCATTGTTTTCCCTCTCCAAAGACTGCAGAATCAGGCTTTTACATAATTCTGGGATATTTGTATTATATTCTGCATATTTTGTTTTCTGATAGTCTGCAATTTAACTAGTTAAAGCCTATTTGCCTTCTTTAATGCCTGGGCTGTATTTTCAAATGTTCTGTTTTGTCCCTTGGGTTTTCTCTCTGACACTGGTTTGCTCTGGGGAAAATTCCACTTCCATTAGCATGAAAGACCAGGATTTGGCACAATCATTCCAGCCTCCCCGCCTAGCAGCAGTCAGCAGAATTTGCTGAATATATAATGCTCGAATTCTACTCCTTACCAGCTTCTTGCAGAGGTAGGATTTTGCAGCAGGCAAGAGGAAGCTTGAAACATAATGGTTATTCAATACATGGTTGAGCACATCCCCTAGCTATTGCTCTTCATTGAACAGGTGCATGAAAGTTTTAGATGGCAGTGTATCCACTGTTATGACAGTAAATATGATGGAGTTCATGGTACGATATATGGTATCTCTTCTTGCCAGGAGCAAACTCTAAACTGCAGCTTGGAAAAGCAGAGGTTGCTTTTCCCCAGGCTCTTTGAAAAACCTGGCAGAGTAACAATCACTGAGACAAGATCACGGAGTTCTGAAGTTCCTGATTAGTAAATATTATTTGAGACAAGTGTAACCTCAGGACAAGAATGCCTGACATGAACCAGATTTCAGGCATGATTTTGGCAATCTTTATTCCTTCTGCATATAAATGCAGCATGCTGAGCAACCGTCCTGCCTAACTCCTGAGCTTAGCTTTCCACATTCCACCAGCCACTTGCCAAGAGTCATTTGTTCTCGTACTTCCTACAAAAGCCAAGCTACTTCTCATAACTCTCCATCCTAATTAAGCTACTCGCTGGCTTTTATAATCACCTCTTCATAAACCAGTCAATCTCAGCAGGATTTTTAAGAGCTGAAACTGGGCTGATATCCCCTTAAAGCACCAGCCATCCTGAAACAGCAAGGTCTTATTCTTTACTCTTTAGCTTTTCTTGAGTGCCTTCTTTCATTTCTTTTCCAGATGTAAAAGAGAAGGGCCAACAACAAAAATAAATATATGCTGAAGGCTGAATGAGGGCATGGAAACATGCAGTTTTCCAGACAACTCAAGCACTTCTAGCAACTGCATAGATCACTATTTCCTTTCAAGCTGTTTCCCACTCAGTACTGTTCATCAATCCATTAAGGAGGACAGACAACCATGCTTTTTAACAGAAACCCAGACAAAATGGGCAGAATAAATCAAAGTTCTGGGATATTCAGAACTTCAGCATCTCAGAAATCCAATACTTCATCTTGACCTTTATTCAAGAAAGCATCTGAACCAAACTTAGAGTACATACAAAAGGACTTTTAAATCGATAAACCTTTTTATACCACTGCTCCCTGCTTCAAGAGCCTATTTCTGGAAGTTTTAGGGCAGCTAAACTGAACTCAGTTCAGAGTCCACAACCAGAAGAGCATTTTTCTCTGGAGCAGGCTCCATGTGGAAGGCTAAAACTAAACAGAGCATCCTAGCACCCTACACCACACAGCTGGCATTGCTCAAATTGCCACCAGACTGGATTTACCTGGAAGCTTCTACTCCCACAGACATTACTATGGAAAATGTCCTGCATGAGTTATAAAAAGTTAAGCAATTTGGTGTTCCCAAAAGCATTCTAGTGTGTTTCTTACTGTCTAATAATATGGGATAAAAGGGACATCAATACTTGCAGGTAGTGGAGGCACCATATAACATGGAGATAAGATGGCTTCAAATAAATCCTACCTTCATTGCGTCAGGACAGAAACAGAAGTGCATGCACAGGCAGAGGGGCTGCATTACTACCAGCATCCCCAGCAACAGTCTGTTTGGGTGTTGCTCCCCCAAGACCAGCAGACCCAAAAGTCACATGAAGGAGAATGCAAGCTTACAGCATCATGGGATAGGGAGGAACCAAAGAGAGCCATGTGTGGTGTGGTCTGCAGATACTGAACAGATTGGATTGTTTCCAAAGGCTATTATCTGAAAAAGACTTTGCTTTATACTTAGGCCAATATGGTAAACTCTGTCCACTTAGCTCAGGGAAAGGTCAGAGATATTTTGAAGTAAAGAAAGGCCATCTGTGGCAGCTGTATCCAATTCAGAGAGATAAATTATCCCCAAAGGAACATGAGGAAAAAAATCCTTATTTATTTTATTTCTGCATATTCAACTTACAGTTACCCTGGTGCATCCCTGATATGGACTTGAGCGATGTTTTCAAGCAGAATCCAGCCAGTCTTTCCTACAATGAGACAGAGGTTGTCTAAACAGACGATCACTTCCTGGAATTTGCAGATCTAATTCCATACTCCAGTATTTAAGGTCTCCAGCAAAAGTGACACCCATCTTCCCTGTAAAAAAAAAAAGAAAAAAAAAGAAAGATTTTCCTTCTATCCAGAGATTATTTAGTGCTTTGTTATTGACACTGCTCCTATTGAAAGATTTAAACATAAAAATGCAGTGTATTCAAGTAGTGATCATTTTTCATCGTCACTTAGTGACACTACAGCCTGTAGTTAGCTGCAGCAGATTTATCTTTTCTGCTATTGATCGTGTGTGGGGCCAAGCTGTTTTCAGGTACCTGGCTGTATTGCTTCTGAGCTGCAGGAAGAAATGCACACGGAGTGCACAAAGGTGATGCCAAGCAGTCTTGATTTCATTCTAAAGCTGTTTAATTATTTCCCTATAAAGGGTGAGATAAGTTCCTAGAGGATAATTTGTTTGTGGACACAAGGCATTTCCTGCTTGATGAAAGGAACAGTGTGGAAATGCCATTTCCCTGTGTAGCTCAGCCTACACGATGTCACAGAGAGCTGGGTTTAAGGCACTAGATGCAAACGAAAACTTAAGGTACTGAAGGACAGTTGTTTTGTGAAAAGTAGGGGCTGCCAGTCAGGTCCCTAAAGCAAGCCTGCCATGACCTCCTGTGGTGAAGATGCTCTCTCATGAGGATTCCCATCACATCATGGAAAGATTCCTTCTACTTCTTGAAGCCCACAGAGAATGGAAAGCATTACCCCAAGGGTTTGGAGCCCTCCAGCCTCCAAAGCTCCGTGAACAATTTTTATACTTAAGGCACAGGGATTAACTCCAGTCACCTTCTGAGTTTAGAGTGAAGCTGAAGGGAAAACAAAACAGAACATTTAGATGCAAGGTAGAACCTGCTTGTTCTCAAACAGTACAATATTGGATCCCACACTTTTGTCTCAAACACATCTACTATATTAAACAGAGCCAGACATCTATATATGTTCTTCTTCACTTAAGCCAAATACATCAGTAAGTGCTGATACAGAGGCTGTGAATTCAATGGCTGAATAATGCTTGCGGGAATCCTTAAGAGACCAAGAAAGCTTTCTCTTGAAGCTGTCATGCACCTCCCTGATGGATCGCAGCTCACAATCCATAAATGCACTTAATGCGGGGGGCAGTCAGGACCAGATCTCCAGTTTCCCACAGCAGTTGCTCTGTTACAGAGCTAAAAGGTGCATTTGTGCTTGTTTCTCTTTCCAGGTACTAGCTGAAATGTGACCCAGCCACCTTTATATATGTATGTATATATGTATATATTTAAATGTAAGCTGGAAAAGAGGCATACAAAGAACTTCAATGAATGAACAGACTATTGCACCTCAGTGCTGTTTGCAGCTTTCTCATCCAAGTGAAGCCGTTCATCCACAGCCTTCATTGTGACTTTGAGTCACTCCCTTTCTGGATATTGCATATTTGGATTAGAAAAGGGAAAGACAATCACTATATGGACAAGGAGACCTGTTCTGTGCCTTGTGCCCCCTGCTTCTTCCTTCCACTCCTGATGGGAAGACCCTGAATACATGGAACAGCAAAAAGCCCACAAAGAACAGCAAAAAGCCCACACCATTGTAACTGCCTCTAGATGAAAAATACATACTTTATTCTAAAGGCAGTGACTTAACCAAAACCAAGCAAGCTATACAAATAGAAGACAGGTATGTAGGTTCACCCCAAGTATTAACTTTACAGTGTTCTAGCTCTTCTGTCTTTCCTTCTCAATCATGTGTTTGAGTTCATTTTCTGATCACTTTTACCAAATATATTCTTCTCCCACAGAGACCTAATCTTTTTGCACTCCTCTGCAGCTCACTTTGACTCACTTGTCAATTCCTGATCCAAACCCTTTTGATTAATCATCTCTGAACAGGTTTATCAATCTGTTCTGAAGCCTGAACACAGAAACATACATGTTCAGCAGATATTTCCTCACTGAATTTCTCTGCTACACTATTTTGGAGAAGAGTTCCAAACTGTGCCAACTAACTCTTGCTATTTGCAGACTTGGGAGATGGGATTCTAAACCGTGAGAATTTGCCAAGGTAGCTATACTAGCAAAAGGATATTTCTCCTGCTGTAAATAAAGCTCATTCCTGTTCTTCAAATAAACTGCGCTAGTAGAAGGACTTCCACTGCCTCAGCAGAAGGTTTTTGTTGATAGAAATATAGTTTCACCTCTTGCAAAACCAATATAGCAATGGTAACAGAGCTTTGGACCAGGACAGGTTGTTTTCTCCTCAGTATTCACAGCTACCAAAAAAAAGGAATATGATCACTGTCTTACAGAATAAAAAGTGGCTTAATTCTGTCCCCCAAAATAACCTGCACTTTTGATCCACTCTGAATTCTTTTTCCCACAAGGCTTTCCTGCACAGATAACAACGTTAAGCAAATTAGCAAATTACTCTCTCTGCAAGAGCCAGGTCATATTTCACCATTAGAGAAGGAGGCTGATTTTCGCTTAGGTGGAAACAGATCCACAATAACAGTATTTTCAATTATTCACGTCTCAACATTGCCCCTCAAAATAGTTTCATTTTGTTATATTTAATGCTTCACCATTACATCTTCAAAGTATGTCAGTAATTACAAATCTCACTGTTTTATTTTAGGCGCTGCTCTCCCAGAGTGACAGAAGCGCACAGATTGAAAACGCTGCTGAAAAGATTGTTGGAAGATAGGGAAAACCCATCTAAGCTTTGCCTAAGTGGCAAAAAGGAAGGAGATGCTCTTTGGGCACAGTAGCAAGAACATAGGAAAGTTTCTAATGTTCATCATTTGCTTAAAGCCCAAACAAGATTCTGTTATGGTAAACTAAAGCACTGCAGTATTGTGAGTTTATGGTATAATATTTTGGCCACTGTGGGATGTTATACTGCAATATTGAAATGAAGGATCATACTCTGAAGTCTGCAATCTGGTGCCCCTCTCTGGCTGTCATATCTGATTCTAAACAGAAAAAAAACCCATAAAACATATTGAGCAAACTCCATCTGATGTGTCAAGTAACAAGTAGCCCTTCGTATATAGATAAAAAATTATGCACACCAAAAAATTGCCCCAAACTTCCCCTCTTTCAGGGTATTAAAGCTCTTCCTGTTGCTATACAGTGAGAATATTTTATAAGCTTTATAAGCTCTATCACTGACCTATTCGCTTTCTAATACATGAAAAATTACTAATCTTCTCTTGCCCACTGAATAAAAAGCGAAGCCCTTTGCAAGCCTATTAGGAAACTATATTTACAACAAAGCACCAAGGAAAATATTCCCATTAAATTTTACAGCAATTTCCTTGGAAGACTCCTTTCCACTGAGAACAGCTGGACTTAATTGCAAATGAGCTGACTGAAGGAAGTACATCTGATTGCAGATATAATAAAATTCATGCTTGACACCTTAATTTTTTTTAATATATATTGGCCACCATAAAATCAGTGCATTTGCTGGTTTGCAGGCTAAATCTATCAAAGTTCTGGCAGGAGAATAGACAGGGAACGGAAAAGCTTGTGGAGTCCTTCAAAGCTTGGTGCTTAAGACACAGCTTTTTAATGCTATTGATTCCGAACAATCAATATTTTCTTCAATAAGAAAGTCTCATATTACCCCTCTTCCCAGCCACCCTTCACAATGAACTTATTTAGGATGAAAAAGCACTTAATGGCTTTCTTTTGAGATCCTTTTTTTTTTTCTTATGTTCATTGTAGTCTCTCTTCCTTACAGAGTTCACCTCCCTCAGCCCTGTTGGCTGATACTACGTGGCTGTGGAGCGGTTGGGCAGCTTTTCTCCAGTGTGACAACCTGCCATCAGGTTACCAGTTGACTCAGGAAAGCTAATTTATTTGAAATGAATTGCAACCAAATCAACCTATCGCTTCTAGGGTTATTTACTTAGAATCTACCATAAAAAAGCAAAGACTTGTGCTGCCTCCTCATTCCTGTTGTATTTCTGTGAATAACTTAGTTCATGATAAGCTTCATAGGCAAGATTTTAAAGTACCTTTTTACCAGTAAATCTAAACCAAAGTAGTCATTTCTGGTGGGCGATTTAAATGATGGCTTTCCAAACAGTAGGGCTGGTCATCTCCTATGGTAAATGCAGTCCTTCTGCATCGTGAGAAGATGAAAGTTTGCTTAGAACAGGGAGAGTAAGAACTGTGATTGCTGCCACTTAAGATTGCCTAAGAACTGGGTGTCATTGCTGACTAATTGCAGGCAAATTGCTTCTGCTGGAACATATATTGAATGAACAGTAGCAACGGTGTTTGCCTGTAGAGCAATTAAGTTTAACAAGGATGAAATAAACAGTAAAGGCTGCCTGAATCTTCTTGCCATGGAGGTATAAAATCCCCTGTCGTCTTCAGTCTGTGACATGGGTGAGCAGGACTGCCTTCCTGTTCTCAATGTTACTCCATTTCCTGATGAAGAAAACATTGGGATAATCTCCCCATTCTCTCCTGTCTCCTAGGATTATTCCTGGACAGATGCACACATTTCCATGAAAGGAAAAGAGTTCTCTTTCATCAACATGTTGCGAGCAGAAACTAATGATCAGGGCTCATTACAGAGGCTGCTTTTCCTTTCTTTATCTTTTTTTTTTTTTTTTGCAGAGTAACACTGCATGTGGCACCCCAACACTTTAAAAATAATCTGCTGCTCCACTGGCACCTAACATGATGCTAATAAGAGCCTCATCTAAGGGCTGCTGCAGAATCTGTAACAAGCAGCTTCATGTCTTTTAAAGGAATAGCATTCACTGCTTTCTTCTGTAAGTGGCTCTTTAACCAGGCCTACCAAACATTGCAGATGTACACACAAATGCATTTTAATCAACCACAAAAACACTCTGTAGCACAAATAGTTACGCAGCTATGCCCACAACAGCACAGGTAAGTAGGCTAGTAAATATTTAATAAACTACTGTTGCGTGGGATAGTAAACATAAATATTTAGTATAATATTTATTTACATTTATATCCTATACTTAGAATAATATGATGTCTAAAGACAAGTATAGATTCAAATGTTTGGTCTAGTAATACTACTTAGAGTATTACTTAGAGACATTTAATACAGTGTCATGATGCAGGCAAGAGAATGAAAGGTTTAGTTTATAAGATACACACACACACAACTATATACTATTCAGTTTTCTTTGTAGACCAATTGCACTACAAGAAAGAAATGCAATATAAATATCAGAATCTCTTTGCAAGGTGGTATATGTTGGGCTTTTAGCATCCTACTGTCAGGTGGTAGGGAATGACCTTGGGGGGTTGCATTACAAAATGCTGGGCTGGCAGGAGGGCAGATTTTCTATGAACATAGGATGAAGTGCAAATATCACTCCCCCAAGGCATCGCCCCAAGCACAGACAGATTTCATGCCTTTCTTATAGAGTAAAATGGAGGGTTTGGTGATTCTTTAGAGAAATGCAGGATACAATCACTGCAAAGATAAAAATTCCTTACCCAAAGCCCTGGGAATGCACTTGCTCCTAGCAGGGCTGCAACTCATCTCTGCAGGGCTGTTGCCTCCATCCTGAAATAGAGGTGGTGTACAGTTTGACACATTAATATTTATTACAGCTTGCAGTGCAGCAGTAGTCCTATATGAGAGCATACTCTACTATAAAAAAGACCTGCATTATAGCAAGAGGTGGCCCTTTACAGGGATTTGGGTTTTCTGCCTGATAACACATTTTGGACTATTGAGTCTCTACATACATTGAAAATTACCTTCTCCAGCTATGTTGCATTTATGGTGACAGACAGCCTTCATCTCCAGTTGAGGGCCTTTCCAAAGAGTTCACTGAGTTCTGATTCCTTTTTTTAGATTAATTAAATTACATTTCTTGCAAAATATGTATCTGTATGTATATGTGCAGGCTTGGCTACTGCTTAGCATCGTTTATTTTGGACCCCTAACCAAAGTCACGCCAGTTTTGACTGCAGCTTGACTGCTGCTCCACCGGCACCTAGCATGATGCTGTTAAGAGCTTCATCATTTGGTGCCAAAGTAGAGAACTCATCTTTGGAGGACCAATAAAGCAGTAAAAAGAATTTAACCACTAATTCATGGGTTTACACTGTTTTCACAACTGCTCCACAATGACCTCCATGTAGATGCAGCATGGCAGTGCGTCTGGTCTTAGAGGATGTAAGTTGTGTGTTGTACAAACAGCATTGTCACTGCTAATATCTCTGCCAAAGATCTGCGTGCCGTGTTGGGGCTTTGTTGCTTTTTTTTCATAGCAGGCACTGTCTTTTTAGCAATATGCCTGCTGAATATTAACCACCCTAATGATCCCAGCACAGCTCCATTGCACCACTGCTGCCTTTAGTCCTAGCAAAGTGATTTTCTGCCTTTACAGCAGCTTCAGTAGACGGGCCAAGGGCTGGTCTGCAGGTGCTGAGCAGCCTTTCTCCTCTTCACAGGCAGCTCACAGCCAGGCACTAGTGCTGATGTACAGGGTGGAAGCTTTGGTTGCCATTTCACTTATCAATACTAACTCTGTAGTGCCTATTCATTTAGGCCTAGGCTCTGCTCTGTCATGAACCATGCACAGGGCAAAGAGATAGCCCTCTTAGAGTTCTCTCTGAGAATTAAGGACTTGCTGGCATGATCTCCTCTGGATGCAGCTGGGCTGGCTGATGTGGTGGCTATGTTTGTATACCCATCCCTACAGGAGGACAATGCTTTCCCTTCTGTCCATCATCTTGCCTGGACTGTGAGGGGTGAGGGAAGGATGTTCGTGGTCATAGGGGCAGCGTTTGTCTAGTCGGGATAGAGTGAGAGGCAGAGGGTGGTGCTGGGTGAAGGATTCGCTCCAGCTGGAGTGTGGGAGAGAGGGAGTGCAGTACAAAGTAGAGAGGATATGAGGCATGATGGGTAGGAGCAGGAGAGAAAATGAGCAAGTGGAAGGGATTTGAAAGAGCATGAGGTGGTTTCTCAAATATCCATGGAGGAATTCTCCCATGAGGATATATACTGGTAAGTCAGAGAAAGGGTGCAAAGACAGGAAAACACTTCTACCAACAGCTTCTATAAGAGCACAGGAAGACAAGGCCTGCATCAGTCATGGCCAAGAGATAGGATGTTGGTCTTATCAACACACAAAGAATGGCAAACACAAGATTAAGTCTAACTTTCAATGACATGAAAGGGACCTTGTGCAGGAAATGCACCAAAGAGCCTAATCTAGAGCAAGAATGGGTTAGGAAAGTTGTCAAAGAATTTTAGAAGCCAAAACAAAAAAATATAGTCAAATTAACAGGCCATTTGAAGTGTCCTTTCCATGACCAGGAAACACTTGATCCATAACTGTCCTTGTGGAGATGAGCAATGAGAAGGAACAACTTTAGTCTGCCAGTTTTTTGGGCAAATTAGTTATTGCCAGGTAAGGAATGAAACCACAGTACCTTCTGTCTTGAAGAGCAACCAGATCTGGCAATAGAAGAGGACGGCTGAGCACAGACGCGTTAACATAGGGTGTGTAAACCTGCTGCTCAGATCCCAGCTGCACCTGAAAGAGTTAAGGAAAAGGAGAGGCAAGAGGAGCTAACCAACTTCCATGTGCTGTCAGCATTTTACCCCTTCAAGAGCTGCTGTTCCTTCCACCTTTGCTATCTGCAGCCAGGACATGCTGTACAATCCAGAGAACCAACCCACTGGAGTACCTCCTAAACAAAGTTCTCCTCATTCTGTCTGACTCGCCCCAGCCTTCCCCCCACCAGGCACACTCCATGTTTTATTGACCGACCGGTAAGATTGTGCCTGACTTCATTGAGAGGCTTTTAAAACCTTAGTCTTTGCTATTAGTATTGATTAGCTTTGT